CAAGTGGCTGCACCAGCTTGCATTGAGGGAGACAGAGTCTGAAGCAGACTCTGCACTGAGTGCAGAGCCTGCTGTGGGGTTCAATCTCATGATCCTGAGATCAAGACCTGAGCCAAAACCAAGAGTTGGACATTTAACTGACTGTGCCACCCAGGCACCCCAAGATACAGACCATTTCCATTACTCCAGAAAGTTTCCTGCTCACCCCTACCCCTACTGTTCTGATTTCTTTCCATAACTGCTTAGTTTTACCCATGCTAGAACTTCATAAAGATGGAATCATACAGTATCTACTTTTTATGTGTCTGGTTTACTTTATTTAGCATGATGTTTTGGAGATATATCCATGTTATTGTGTATATCAGTAGTTTGCTCCTTTGTATTGTTGAGTAGAATTCTATTGTATGGATGTGTAACAGTTTGTTAGCCCATTTGCCTCTTGGATGGACACTCGGCTCATTTCAGTTTGGGGCCATTGTAAATAAAGCTGCTATGAACATTCCTGTACAAGTCTTTGTGTGAATATACGTTTTCATTTCTCTTGAAATAGAAGTGGACTTGCTGGGTCATAGGGTAGTTGTATGTTTAGTTTTATAAGAAACTGTTCAACCTTTTTACAAAATGGTTATACACTTCCACCAACAAAGGGTGATTTCCATTGTTGAGTTTGAAGCTCATAATACAAGGAAGTTGTCACCTCCTTGGTTTTGGATGCTGTATTTCAGTGAATACCACTGAAGGTCATAATAACAGGGTTGGCTGCAGTTGCCCTGGAAGTCACTGGACACCTTGGACTGTTTCTCATGCACAGATGAGTGGATGGATGCCAAGACTTCTTGATCCTAAAACTGTACAATGGCTTTGTTGGAATCTGAATGTCAGGTTTTCCACTAATTTCCACATTAAATTCCATCTTGTTACTTTTGACTTACCCCTCCAGCTAGTCCTGATAATGATGAGAGTAGCGAACTCACATAGACTGACCTGTGCCAGCGACCTCTCTCAGAACAATTCTACCAGGGAGCTTTATTATCCCCATGTTAGAGGTGAGGAAACTGAAGCACAGAGAAGGTAAATGACTTTCCCAAGCTGCACAGTCATAAATGAGCTAGGATTAGAACCCAGGTAGTTTGGATCCAGACATTATGATCTTTTTTTAAAAAAGATTTTATTTATCTATTTGAAAGAGAGTGTGAACGAGGGCTAGAGAGAGAGAGAGAGAGAGAGCATGAGCAGGGGGAAGGGGAGAGGGAGAGGGAGAAGCAGACTCCCCGCTGAGCTGGAAGCCCGATGTAGGGCTCAATCATGGGACTCTGGAATTGTGACCTGAGTGGAAGGCAGATGTTTAACTGAGTCACCCAGGTGCCCCCCACCCAACATTATGATCTTAACCACTCACCTGCTGTCTCTTTCTGGCTTCTGATGTCATTTCCCTCCATCTTCCAGTTTCTGCAAACATGCTGAGCATGTCTCTAGGTCTTAATCCCAGGGATTGATTAAAAAACAAAAACAAGAGCAGCCCTGGTGGCGAGTGGTTTAGCACTGCCTGCAGCCCGGGGTGTGATCCTGGAGACCTGGGATCAAGTCCCGCGTCGGTCTCCCTGTATGGAGCCTGCTTCTCTCTCTGCCTGTGTCTCTGCCTTTCTCTCTCTCTCTCTCTCTGAATAAATAAATAAAATCTTAAAAAAAACCAACAAAACCAAAAACCCCTATGACCAGGTAAATCGGGGGCCAAGGGAGGAGTGGTGGCATGCTTCTAAAGATCTCCTTTAGTACTTGTCCTATTTTATTTGCCATAATCTTTGATGGTATTTATTCCACCAGCTGCAAAGCCATGGAACTTGGGTCCAGCTGTGGTTTTCCACTATGGTCTCAGGACAGCATTCATCAAATGGCTCTCTGGAATCCCCACACAATCAGCATTTCAAGTCAGTCCCCAGATATCTGCCCATGGGCCCAAAGAACAAAGGAAACAAAGATGGGGTTGGAGTAGCACTTGTTTGAGACCATGTGAGCACCGAGTGGCCCTTTATAGCTCCCAGGTCTTGGCCCAGTATCTAGTGTACAGTAGGTACTCAACAAATTCTTTTTGGTTATTTTTTTTGAAGGCCACCTTATTTTTTATTGTGGTAAAATAGACGTAGCATAAGAGTTAATATTTTAACCATTTTTAAGTGTGCAATTCAGTGGCATTAGGTGTGTTAAAAATATGCAGGCATGATCACTATTTCTAGAACTTTTTCATCATACCAATAAGAACTTAGTACCCACTAGATAATAACTTTCCTTTCCATCTCCCCCAGCTCCTGGTAACCTCTATTTTACTTTCTGGTTCTATGAATTTACCTATTCTAGATACTTCTTAGAAACATACAATATTTGTCCTTTGGTGTCTGGTTTCTTTCACTTTGCCTAATATTTTCAAGGTTCATCTGTGTCTTAACATGTGTCAGAATTTCCTTCCTTTTTAAGGTTGAATAATATTCCATTGCATTAGACATGTGTTTATCCATTCATCTGTCAACAGACATATAAGTTGCTTCCACCTTTTGGCTGCTGTGTGTAACACCACTATGAAGCTTGTTATTTCATAGTCTCTTTCTAATCAGGTTTCCCCCAACCTTTTCCATTTGAGTGGCTCTTGTACAGCCCCTGTGACTTCCATGTTGCTAAATCCAATGGTCATCTTTCAGTTCTCATTTCACTCAATCCATCAGGACCATTTGATCAGGTCCATACCTTTCCTCCTTGATATTATTTCTGCCTTGAGCTTATAGGCTCCCACATTTTCCTGCTTTTCCTCTACTTTAAAAAATATATATATATATTTTATTTATTTATTTTTGAGAGACACAGACAGAGAGGCAGAGACATAGGCAGAGGGAGAAGCAACAGGAGCCTGATGCAGGACAGTCGTGATCTCAGGGTCCTGGGATCAAGTCCCACATATGGCTCCCTGTCCTGCTGGGAGCCTGCTTCTCCTTCTCCCTTTGCCCACCAGGCTTGTGTGTGCCTAAGCTCTCTCTGTCAAATAAATAAATAAAATATTAAAATAAATTAAAAAATGCAAGTCAAATCAGGTCAATTCTTTGCCTCAGATTTTGGGTGGTTCCTCATGTCACTATGTAAGGCCATAGCCCTTACATAGCCTACAAGGCTCTGCATCATTGGGCCCCTGCTCTCTCTGTGTCTTATTCTCTACATTCCCTTCTTGTTCTTTTTGCACCTCACTGTTCCAGGAACGTGCCAGGCACTCTCCCAGCTCAGAGCCTTTGTGCTAGCTATTGCTGGACCTTGGAAATCACCCTCCACTCCCATATCTACATGACAAATTCCTTTACTGCTTTCTTGTCTCTGCTCAGATTCACATTCTCAAAGTCTTCTGGCAGTATTCTGTTTGAAGTTGCAATGCCTGTCATCCTGTCTTCCCTCCTTATCCCCTTTACGCTGCCCCATTTCCCCTTGTAGTATTTGTCGTGGTCGCTCTTATAAATTTTACTAATTTACTGTATTTAATTAATTAATTTATTATCCTACTCTCACCTCCACTAGAAATGATTCTGGAGGTCATGGATTTTCCTCTCTTTTGTCTACTGATAGGATTCAACCTAGAATAGTGCTTGGTACATGTAGGGCCTCAGTAAAAGTTAGTTGAAAGAATGAATGAAGAAAGTAATTGTGATAATTTGGAAGAGATCTGCAATCTAAAATAGTCATTGAAGCCAAGAAAATGTGGGCCTCGGGCCTGGCCAGGCATCATGGACTTTACTGCTGTTCACTGGCAGCAGTCATCCTCCTGCTCCTGGGAGCTCTCTGCGCATTTGCCTTTGGGACGGATCTGCTTCCACCATGGGTCTGGTGGGTATGGATAGCCTGGGACGATTCCACTCTCCACTCCTGGGGTGGGCAGACTCTTCAGGCCACAGTGATTGGTTCAGGACTGGGCACATTTCACTGTCCGGGCCAATGAAACTGCATGTTGAGAATTTTACTTCTCTTCTTGGGATGGGTAAGGCTTCTTCCTGCAAAGGCAGATGTGGGCTCAGAGCTGCCTTGACGATTTTGTTACTTTGTTGGAAGAGCCTACCCCGAATCGGAGTCAACACAAAGGACTACTGAGCTACAGATGTGGAGAAAGATATTTAGGAGCCTTGATGCCTACCACCTACAGCTGGATTTGCTCCCGGACTTTTCATTTACACGAGCCTCTTTTCATTGAACAGAGTTTCTGTCCCTTGCAGCTGCTTACATGGTACCTGCCTGAGCTCATGAACTGGGGAGTGAGGAGGGGGCTGAGTAGGGCTTGCAGTGTGTGTGGGGTGGGTGGCTCTGGTGGCAGTATAGGGGAGAGGGCCTGAGCATTCAGTTAGCGCTAACTGGAGGGAACAGGGAAAAGATTTGCCTTGGCCCTGCCCTAGAGGAGCTCCCAATCTGTAAGAAGAGAAGGGCATGGACTCTACGGGGGCATGGCAGATTGAGGGATCTTGCTCTGCCAGATGCAAGCTAGGCTGAGATGGATTGTGCCCAAGGTTGGGTGAGGGAGTAGGAAGGGGGAGATCTTCCCCATTGAGTTACCTCCCGCTCTGCCATTCCCCCCACTCCCCGCCCCAACGCGCCTGAAAGAGGCCAGCTGAAGCACACACTGGGGCTTTGCCGCTTCCTGGAGATGTGTTCTGGGGTAGGACACTTAACTTTCCCAGCTTCAGTGTCCTCATAGGTCAAATGGAATGAATGCCGTCCACCTCATCGGGTTCCTGTGTGGATGAAACGAGATAATATGTGAAATGAGATAACGCCAAGAACTCAGTATGAACCTGGCTCACGGAGCGCTCTTAATAAGAATCAGCTGCTGGGGTTATTCTCGGAGGTCTTTCCTGGCCCGGGAAGTATGCCCGCTGTGTTGCAGGTGCAGTTCTTGTGGACACCAGCAGGTGACGCCCTGACCCCAAAAGAGCTCATTCCTGGACAGCCTGCTTCAAAAGGGCTCCGGAAGCGGCTGGGCAGGGCGGCCTATCGGAGCTTGGCCCCCTAGACTCCTGCCTTCCCGGCTCCGGCGGGGAGGGGTATCTGCATTCCCCTCAGTTCCAAAGAAGAGGGGGCCTTGGTCACCATGGGATAGTCAGTGGAGCCTGTTTTCCATCCGTATTTTGGAAGAGCGTGGCCTGCAGAGACAGCCTGGGTCAAGTTGAGAAAATACTCAGGTTGGACCAGGTAAAGGGCTGCCAGAAGGAGCGAGCATCCCAGCGCGGAGGCTGGTTAGAAAGGGCCAGTGGCTGGACCTCGGCGCACGGCGGGGCCTGGTGCTGGGGCCGGGGAGGAGCCATACGACTTCTAGGCTCTTCCCTTCTTGGTGAGAAGTTAAGAGGGGAGCTGCGCGGCGCGGAGGAGCCGGGACCCGGTCGGCCTGGTGGCGCGGGACGCGCCGGTGATGCTGGGGCCGGCCGGCAGAGGGCAGCAGAGGGCCTCCCGGGCTGCGCGGAGCTCCGCGGCCAGCCACGAGCCGCCTTCCCGGGAACGTGGGGAGCTTGCGGCTCCAGGCGCCTCGCGGGAGGGAGTCCGCGTGTTTGTTCCGCGTCTCTTCCCTCGCCCTCCCCTCTGTCCCTGGGCTTTCTGAGGGCGGGCGGGGGGAGAGGAACTCGTGGGTGAGGGGAGAGTCGGCTCCAATCCGAACTTCGTGCACCCTCTTGCGAAGCTGCGGCTTCCCTGGGTGGGATCTGCGGCCCCTCTAATCCTAGGCGCCCCTGCTTCCTGGGATAGGGTGGTGTTCTCTCCCCAAGGATAAGGGATTCGGGGGCAGACGAGGATCCTTTCTCTGACCCCCATAACCCAGGCCTGAGGGTCAGGTGGACCTTCGGAAGCCGGGGAGTGCCACGCCGTAGCACCCAAGCCAGTTCCCAGCATCCGCCTGGGCAGGCTCCCAGAGGCCCACAAAGGCCTTCAGACAAAGTTCTGGGCCGGGCTTTGCCTGTGCTCTGGGCCCGCAGCCGGCTGGCTCTAGGCACTCCAAGTCCCTGGCACTCCTTATGGGGTTTTGTCCACCAGCCCTGGACCGGGCTGGCAGGGCCCTGTTTGCTGGGGGATGGGGGTAGGACAGGCAGCTCCCCTTTCTTTCCTGCCCGTGTCCTAGCTCTCTTCCAGGATACCCTCCCGCATCCCAGGCCTGCTCTGCTGTGGCCTTTCCCCACTTGTCCTTCTCTTGGCCTGCAACCCTACATCTTTGCCATCCTCAGATCTTGCCTATACTCTACCCCTCATTTCTTCACCCATGTATTTACAATAATACTCGGCAAGTATTTATTGAGCTCCTACGATGCTCCAGACCCTTGCTAGATCACTGGGGATCCAGCAATAACAAGACACAGTTCTTGTCCTCTTTGGAGTTCACAGACCAGGGGGGTAGTAGGTAGGAGACTAGCAAAATTCATACTTAAAAACTGATCTCATTTTGTGATAACTGGGGTAAAGCAGATAAGTTGCCTGCTCCAGGAAGCTCTACTGTTAGGGATGCTTCCTCTGGGAAACCATCTGCTAGGCGATGAGCTGTGGAAGGAGGGACTGTGGGCCCTGCCCACCCTCCTTCCCCATGCCTGGCACATAGACATGCAGTAGTTGCTCAGGAAATGTGGAACAAATGGATGAATCATCCTCATGGCCACAGGATGGCCAATGGGAATAGCTTTTCCTCCCCATACTCCCTCTTGTCTAACATAGGACTCAGAGGTAATGTTGGGGATTATATAGATGAGACCTTGAAGTTGCCAGGAGTCCCTCCTAGGCCTCTGTGGCTTCCTTCCTAGCTCCTCATGACACAGCTTACCTACCTGGGGCTCTGTCAGAGTCCCATGGCTTGTGTGTGGATTTGCCCATGACCTTTCATTCATCCCTTCTTTGGCTATATTACCTTTTGGGTACCTACAGTATGCTGGCCCTGGGCTCTGGAGAAATGGGGACTCAGAGAAGAATGAGAAGGGTCCTGGCCCTCCTGGACTATCTGGTCTAGACAGTAACAGCACAGTGTGATGGGGGAAAGTTGTGGTGCTGTATGAGCTGGGATGGTGTGCCCCTAGGGGCACCTCCTCAGAGAGGCCTCATCTGGCCACCTGGCTGAAGGAGCTCCCACTCTTCTAGCTACGTGCTGCTGTCACATCTCCATTTTTTTTTTCAGAGTACATTTCAGTATCTGTAGTTACTTCTTTATCTGTTGGTGTGTTCTTTATTGGAGAGCTTTACTGAATGCCTGCTATGTATCAGGCAATGTTCTAGGCCCTGTGCATACAGAAGTGAAAGAACAAATTTCCAGCTCTCCTGGAGCTTATGGTCCAGTAATGATAGTGGTGGTAGGAAGACAGACAATAACCGGAACAAGCAAGTAGGCATATAGTATATAAATATGTGTTAGGGAGGAGAAGCAAGCAGGCAAAGGGGAGACTGGTAGAATTTTAGGCAGAGAGCTGAAGGGGGTAAGAGATAAGGCCATGCAGCCACCTGGGGGAGGAGTGTTTCAGGCAGAGGGCATAGCAAGTGCAAAGGCCCTGAGGTGGGAATGTGCCTGATATGTTAGAGGATCAGCAAGGAGGCCCCTGTGGCTGGAGAGGAGTGAGGTTGGACAGGTGGCACAGCCCACATCACGTAGGAACTTGTAGCCATTGTAAGGCTTTGTTTTGACTCTTAGTGACATGAAAGCCATTTGAAGATTTTTTTTTAAATAATCTTTTTTTTTAAAGATTTTATTTATTTATTCATGAGAGAGAGAGAGAGAGAGACAGAGACAGACAGAGACAGAGACACAGGCAGAGGCAGAAGCAGTCTTCATGCCGGGAGCCTGACGTGGGACTCGATCCCAGGTCTCCAGGATCAGGCCCTGGGCTGAAGGCGGCGCTAAACGGATGAGCCACTCGGACTGCCCCATTTGAAGATTTTGAGCAGAGAGGTGACAGGATCTGGCTGACATTGAACAGGATCCCTTTGGTTGCTGTGTTGGGAATGTGGGCAGGGGGGTTGGGTGCAAGCAGGGGGACAATGAGGAAGCCACAGTAACAGTCCAGGTGGGAGGTGATGGTGCACCAGCCAGGTGGTGGCAGTGTTGCTGACAAGCAGTGGCCAATTGAAGACTTGTTTTGAAAGTAGATCCCATAGGTTTTATTGAGGGATTGCATGTGGGGTGTGAGAGGCAACAACAAGGGATGACAAGGCCTGCGTTTAGGCCTGAGCTGACGGAAGGAAGGTGATGGCATCTACTGTGGCAGGGAAGTAGTCAGTTTTGTGTGGGATGATTTGGAGCTGCTCCTTGCATATCCTAGTGGAGACCTCAGGCCAGCTGTCAGGTATGAGGGTCTGACCTGAGAGGGATGAGGTTTGGGCTGGAGAGTCACACAGGAGGATCAATGGGCTTTGAGGGTTTCAATGGGCTTTGAGGCCAGGTGGGATCACACTGGGAGACGGAGGGGGAAAATAAGGCAGAGGACTGACAACTGGGGCCTTCAGGGCTCATTGACCAGCCGGTGAAGGAAGGGGGGGCGGCAGGGTGGGAAGGTGCAGCCAGGGATGTAGGAGGGCAGTGTGAGTTCTGGAAGCCGACAGGAGGAACTGCTTCAAGGAGGAAGGTGATCACGTGTGTCATATGCTGCCAGTAAGTGAGATTAAGTGTGGGAATTGACTTTTGGGTTTGACATCATAATGGTCACTAGGGACCAGGCTCCTGTCAGTCTATCTAGTCCCTTTGCACAAATAGGAGAGAGGCAGCTCCTCTAGGTCAACCCATTGTGCAGGCACACAGAAGGGAGATACCTCAGTGTAATGGAATACATACCTCTCCCCAGCCTGATGTAGCCTTGAACCAGGCACAGCATGCTGAGGGGGCAGCAAGGTGGATTTCACTCCATGTGTGCTCCAGTGCCTTTATGCAGTGCCCAATCTGTACATCTGTACTCATTAGCTCTGTCGCTGACCTTGATGAGCAGTGTCAGTTGAATAAGTGTGGGTAAAGGAATGAGAGTCGGGTTGGAGTGAGTTCAAGAGAGAATGGGAGAGAAATTGGAGAGTATGGACAATTTTTTCAAGATTTGCTATAATGGGGGAAAAAGAAATGGCACAATAGCTGGAGGGGGCTAGGGGTTGAGAGGAATTAGCAAGAGTGAGTGAAGGGAAGGCATCCTAGGCAGAGGACCAGCATAAGTAGAGTGAGGTTATTAGGGATAGTTGGGGTGTATAAGGGTGGGTGGGGTCCTGGAACATCACATTTGAAGTGTGAGGTGTCAGGAGAGGACACTGGACACATGGGTTGGGGCCTTTATGTTGGGGGTGAAGGGGTAAGGGCAGGGTTGGAGCATGGCTGGGTACACACTAGGTGATCACTGAGTACTTCGGGATTGGCCTGGGGCATCCTTCCACAGCCTCCCTACCTTGGCCTCAGTCCACCAGCTGGAAGATGGGAGCATTAGGTGTTTCAGCTGCTAACTGGGCGAAGCCTTCTTGGGATCTACGTGCCTTCCTCTGGGTGATGGGTCTTAGGCCCTGGCCCCTCTCCTCCCTGGATGCCACACTCCTCAGGCTGAGGAAGAGGAGGAGGCCCTGCTTGGGTCTGGGGAGGCAGGAGGTCAGGTAAGGGCCTCACCATGGCAGGGACTGTGCTGGGCGAGGTAGGCTGGGAACCGGGCCCCAGCACCTGCCTTCCTGAGACTCACCTTCAGGTGGGTGCCGTGTGTGTGTGTGTGTGTGTGTGTGTGTGTGTGTGTGTGTGTGTGGAGAGGGGGGGAGGTGGGGAGGTGGGGGAGGGGAAGGGAAATCTTTTGGAGGAAGGCACAGAAGTTGCTGATTCTTTTTTCCTTGGAGAGATGCTGAAGAATGTAGCACATTGTGGCTGCTGGCAGATGCTGACCCTGTATTCTTTCAAGAGGCAAAAGTAGCTACATAGAATAACGACAGTGACTCTGTCCTGTGTCTAGTGGCCCAAAGCGCTCTGGCACACAGAGACCACCTGTAGCCTTGTGACAAGCCCTTTGAGCTACTGCCACTTTACATGGGTAAGGGATATTCAGGGAGGGGATACAGCTGCTTGTGGTGGCACCACCGGGAAGTGGCAGTTAGATTAGAACCCAGGCCTCAGGCCCTGGCTAGCTCATGCCCAGTGCAACAGGCTCCCAGAGCTGCCAATGATGGGGAGCAGTGCCAGGCCAGGGACTAGGTTCTGGCTGCCAGATTAAGTGGAGAGA